GCATCTTGAAAGTACTTGTACCTTAAATAGAAAAGAAGGATTACCTTATACTTAGGGGAAATTGTTTTAAACTATGATGGGAAGGTATAGATTATATTTAAGAGAGAATTTCTTGACACTGGAGAGAGAGAATGTTATTTACTTAGACTAAAAATTCATTAGTGATGTCTCTCCTGACCCCGTGATGAGAGAGAAGACGTATTCGTTAAAAAGAAGAGATAAAGAAAAATTTTTAAAGAGCCACGTGTAAGACAGAGAGGTGAATGGAGGTTGAGGAAGCATGGCAAGGTCAAAATTGGATGGAATAACGAAATTCCCCTTAATTAAGTTCAGTTCTTGCTGCTGGTTGTATCACATGAGCTGAGTAAGGAGGTGGGCCTGTTAGGGATGGGATGAGAAAACGTAGTTGTGGGTAGGCAGAACACAATTTTGCATGTGTGTTGCATAAGCTAGCATAGGTTGTTCTGTGCTCCTGGAAAAGTCTGAGAAGTCAAAGGACACCACACTCTCAGATTCTTCTTTTCCAAATAGGTGTCAGTGTCACATCCTGACCCAAGAAATGACCTTTATAAATTTGCCACTTAAGAAAATAAGACTGTTCAAGTGATGGATAGGCATTGGCCATCCAGAACAATGGTAACTGCTGGTGAAATGCGAAAGTGTCCTCTGGAACTCTGGGCTACAGATTGAGTCCTTGTCCCGTGAGAGCTGATTCAGGCTTTAATGCAGACCAACACAGGAAGATTGTTTCTCAGTCGCTATTTGTGTCATTCCTGCAACTTGCACGTTTCCTAATAGAAGGAACTCTTGAATTCAGCCAGCTGCAAACATGGTGCCGAGGGTTTCTCCAGAGCATCGGAGCCAGCGCACAGAAATGTGGAGCTCAAAGAAAAAGTGACATGGCCTGGCTTCCTAAGGATCATTTTCCATAAAAAATATAATGTAGAAATAAATACTAATAAAAAATGGTAGGAATAACACAGAGTGAAGAAGGTAGCAAGTAAGAGAGCTGATAAAGACACTCAATTAGAGAAAAAATATTTCTACTCTTGAAAGATCTAATCATCTGGCTGATTTCCCTAGATGGGAAATCTTGCTAAATTAATTCAGAAACTAGAAGTCAATTACAACACACCCAAAAATGCTGCGTCTGGGAACCCCGAAGTTTAGTTTTTAAGAGTGATTTTATCACAGGCTACTGTGATCATTGTGAATGGTTGATTAAAATGTAAAAAATGGACCTTATCCATTGTAGCAGCAGTGGGAGTTGGGAGCCAGGAACCCTGCGATGTTGAATCCTTCCAAGAAGCATGAACCATAGAATACAGGAGCCCGTGGCAAAGCCCCGCGGAAAGCCCCAGTCCTTGGCAGCACAGCAATCACACTTCTTAGGAGTAGCCGGAGAGCCCAACGCTTGCACAGCTCCTTTGGCACCAGATAAACCTTGCCTGAGAAGGAAATTTATAGGAGCGGACATGGAATTTTATGAGGCCTACGTAATGTATTTATTTCAGCACATTTACGTCATAAAATTATCCCTGAGATGAAGACTCTGGAAAGTAAACACAACAATTTCGTCTATTTTGCCTCCAAGGCAGGCTCACATTGGGTTACTGTGCTCAGATCCGGTCTGTGCTTATTCCTACTCTCAGTATCGGTCAGTGATGCTCAGTCCGAGGGCAGAAGCCATGACGAGAGGGAATGGTGACTGCTGAGGTTTCTGCTCCCCAGCAGTGTTGATGCACTGGCTACCAAAAGACAAAAACATTCTCTGGAACAATTTAGTTAAGCCTCGTGTAGCAGAGAGGAGTAGCATATTAGCTGTAGGTCACCTGTGTTGCGTTTTTAAATGTTATACTTGTGGGGTGATTTTTCCCCCAAGAAGCAGAAACTTAACCTTCCTGATTATTTTGTGATTAAAAAATAAAATAATTTGCATTCCCTGAGCCCAGACTGACAGATGGTGGTGGTGTTTGGACAGAAACAGGCCAGATGTCAGAATAAAATTGATGAACCAGTGAGTTTTAAATTTGATCTCCCCCACCTCACCAAAATCACGAAATAAATCATCTTCACATCAAAGTTGGTTTCTTTCACCAATTCAAATAAAGAGATTTTAAACCCTACACTTTATTTTTTATTTTAATTATATTTAAAGTTAAAAAGCAATAACAAATCATTTGTCCAAAAATTAGAAGACTGTAAATAGCCGAAATAGTCTTGAGAAAGAAGGACAAAATTGGAGTTCTCACGGTTCCTGTTCACGAAACTTACTGCAAAGCTACCACAATCAAAACGATGTAGTGCTGGCATAAAGACGGACACATAGACCACTGGGATTGCCTGGAGAGCCTAAAATAAACTCCCACATGTATGTCGAATGGTTTCTGACTAGGGTTCCAAGGCCACGCAAAGGGGAGAAGGCAGTTTTTCACAAATGATCCTGAGAAAACTGAGTATCTACATGAGGAAGAATGAAGGTGGACCCTTACCTGGCACCATATAAAATATTAACTCAAAGTGGATCAAAGACTTAAATGTAAGAACCGAAACTATAAACTCTTAGATAGAAACGTAGGGTGCACACTTCACGACACTGGATTTGGCAGTGATTTCTTGGATATGACACCAAAGGCACAGGTACCAAAAGAAAAAAGACAAATTGGAATTCACGAAAATTTATAAATTTTGCACATCAAAAGACAATTAAAATAAAATTGAAAAATGGGCAAAGGGACTTATGAGTAGACATTTCTCCAAAGAAGATATTACAAATGGCCAACAGGCACATGAAAAGATGCTCAACATCACTAATCATTAGGGAAATGCAAATCAAAACAACAATGAACCTCAATAAAATTTTTTTAAAAACACAATGAGATACTCTTGCATACCCATTAGGGTGGCCATTATTAAAAAATGAAAAATTAAAAAAAAAAAGTGTTGGTGAGGATGTGGAGAAATTGGAACCATGTGCATTGCTGGTGGGAATGTAAAATGTGTGGCTATTGTGGAAAACAGTATGATGATTTCTCAAAAATTAGATACAGTTACCATATGATCCAGCAATTCCACTTCAGAGTATATACCCAAAAGAGATGAAACAGAGACTCATGTATATATTTGTACACCCATGTTCATAACAGCTTTATTCACAATAACCAAAAAGTGGAAGCAACCCGGGTGTCCATTGATAGATGAATGGATAAACAAAATGTGGTATACTCATACAATGGAATATTATTCAGTCCTAAAAAGAAGGAAATTTTGACACAAGCTACAATATGGATAAACCTTAAAAACATTATTCTAAGTGAAATGAGCCAGTCACAAAAGGGCAAATATTGTGTTATTCCACTTATATGAGGTCCCTAGAGGAGTCAAATCCATAGAGACAGAAAGTAGAAGGGTGGGTGCCAGGGGCTGGGGGAGGGGGTTGGGGGGTTGTTGTGTAATGGGTCATACAAAGTTTCAGTTTGGGAAGATGAACAAGTTCTGTAGATAGATGGTGGTGATGATTGCACAACAGCATGCGTGTATTTAATGCCATAGAATTGTCCAATTAAAAATAGTTAAAATGGTAAATTTATGTTATGTCTATTTTATCACAATAAAAAAGTTAGAAACAAAGACCGGTAATAATGAATGGATGAATTGTCAAAAAGTTAGGAAGAACTTAAATGTCCAAAAATAAGGGACTAGGAATGGCTAAATAAATTATGATAACCCACTCCGTGGGGTACTTATGTAAGCAGTAACATTTATTGATGGTGGCAACGTGGAAAATGCCTATGATATAGCGTCAAGTGAGAAGGGGGTGAAATTGTCACATACCATGATTGCAACTATAAATAAATCCAGTTCAAGGAAGGAACTAAAAGGAAATATCAAATGCTTTAAAAATTCGCGTTAGAGTGGTGAGATGATTTGCTTTTCTTTTCATCTCTTTTCCAATTGTTTTGGAAAATGGATGTAATGGTCTTTAAAGAAAAATAAATTTACAATAAAATATGAAAAGAAGGAATAAGGAAACATTTTTTAATAATAATTATTAAAACTTTTAGTTATCACCTGTAAAATTCAGAATACTGGATATTTTTGAGGCTTTTGCAAAGTGGTATAAATATGAAAGGTATGAGTGACTGAGGTTCCTAGAAAATCCTGGTTCAACTCTGTGCTTCAAGAGCCATGTCAGAATTTGGGTCACTGAGCAGAGGACGCAGATGAACATCTCTGAAGAAAGAAGCTTTTCAAGGACTGGCCTGCGTTTGACGCTGGGCAGAGACAGCTTCCCAGAGCCGGAAGCTGTGTTGAGAGAGGCCTTTCTGGGTTAGAACAGACTCACAGCTTGGCAGACAGCCGCCTTTTAAACTGCTTTCCAAAATGAGGCAGCAGTTGACTTTAAGTGGGTTATTCTTAAAACTCAATTCGCACCCATCCTTCTCTGGCTTACTTGTTATTAGCTCGTTGTCTTTCAGCAAGTTCCACCTCTACTCCCACCCCAGCACCCACCCAAGGAAAGAAAGTCAGAACCAGAAAGGAATTGGGTTCCGATGGCGGCGTCTGCTCCTCAGAAGGGACAGTCAGAGGCGGGAGAAGGTGGGCGATGGGGTCACAGCAGAAGCTGCGGCTGCCTCTTGGGCTGCTCAGTTCTTTACAGACTCCGTGACCTCCCGCTCAGAGCAGCTCATGGTCATCAGCTTCCCAGAAGAGGGACGAGGGGGACCTGTGGAAGGTGTCCTTTGAGGCACCAAGTAACCAGCTTCCCAGGGTTCCAACATCTGGTGCCTTTCTGATGGGTCCTGTTCTTACAAGTCTCTGTAAGAGCCATTGTCCAGTCCATCCTCCAGAGCCTTTATCCGCGGTGGACATATTCTCATAAATTTAGTTCCATTCCATGATGCTGTGGATTCTGGTTTGAAGAAGATTTCCAAAGTCCCAGTTTGCTTCTCTTCTGCCCTCTGCCATTTTGGACCGTCCTGGTCTCTCTTCATTCCCAGGTGGTTCGAGACCAGATCTCTCACTGCACCGTGAAATTGCGCCAGACCACGGGCCTCATGGAGTACTGCCTGGAGGTGATTAAGGAGAATGATCCCAGTGGCTTTTTGCAGGTAAGGATCAGTTCGTTTCTGCTTGGGATTCTCAGTGTCCCGTGGGACCAAGTCTGCAACGCCAAGGCCAGACTCCAGGGCCCTGCCTGGGCACGGGTCCCTCTGTGATGGAACCCCCGTCACAGTGCGGTGTGTATGTGGGTGTCTGCTAGCCTCCACCGACTTCCTGGAAGTCTTTGCCCACATGTGCTACGAGATTGAACTTGCATTGTTCTTGTGTTCAATCATGAAAACATAATTCTCTGTAAGTTCTCCCAAAGCACAGTTCTTGCTATGCCTAAGAATCAGGTCCTTCTCCGCTAATATCTCCTGGGCAGTTTAGTCAGCCACAAGTGTCTGTGTGTGCAGAAACTAGATTTCCCAAATAAAGTGAAGCTTTTTCATTCCTTGGATGTTTCATGATTTCTTCAGTGTTAATTGTTTTAGTGAAATGCTAGGATGTCAGCTGAATTTTACTTAAGTTTTGATCCCAGTGATTCAGGGACCTTTTATTAAGGAATATGTAGCTCCCTTGCAGCTCAGATTCTACCAGACTGGCTGAGTGACAGAGGGGACTGAATATAAGAAATGAGAGTTGTCTACCAAAGAATAGAGGGACACGTGAAGCGACGCCCTGCAAGCCTAAGAAGCTGCATTTTACAGATTGTCATACGCAGCCTCTCTAGACTCTTTCAGGGACTCCCACACCTCATGGTAGAAACTTAGGGTTGTCGCTTCTAGTTGGATTAACTAATCGCCAACGTATTGTTTAATGTCGTTGACTTTTAGTTGATCAGTCAATTAGCATTCTCATATATCCAGATTCGTCCCTTAGGACAGTTGATGGCTTCTAAGTATTTATTGTGCCCTCCTCTGACTCACAGAAGTGTCCAGATTCCCATGGTAAATAATGAGGCTCCTGACCACCCTCAGAGGGTCGGGAAGGGTGTGAGCCCCCAGGCGGGCTGGGTAACCCTCCAGGAGAGCCGAGGAGCAGTGTTCTGTGTCCAGGGTGGCGTTGTGTCTCTTAGGCTGTGGTCTTTGATGTGACTAGATTTCTGACGCCCTCATAAGGAGAGTGCACCTGACTGAGGACCAGTGGGGGAAGGGGACGCTCACTCCCAGGATGACTACGGACTTCGACCTGAGTCTGGATAACAGCCCTCTGCTGCAGTCCATTCACCAGCTTGACTTCGTGCAGATGAAAGGTGCGTGCCCACGTCCCCCACCCCCCCGCCACCGTCCCAGCAACGTCCTCAGGGGTCCTGATGCTTGAAGCAGGATAAAGGCTGCATGCCAGCTCACAGCAAGCAAAGGCAGCCGCCAGGCATATAGATCACCTGAGAGGCAGAAGGAACCACACACACACACCTGTGGGTCATGTTACAGAATCTGGAGTGGCTCCTGTCTTACGGCATAATGGAAACACCCCCGCCCCCGTAGCCATGTCCTCTGCCTCTCAGAAAGTCAGATCAATTCAGATAAGTTCAGCGTTTGCCTCTTTGAGAGTCTTAGAGATTTCACACACTCGGCATCAGAGAACAGCTGACATTAAAAGAGAGACAGAGTGTCACTGCACATAAATAAGATCTTGTGACAGAGTCACCCAGGAATGCTGGTACAAATCCAGGGAGTTGAGAACTGAAAGGACAGCTTCCACGTGGACAGGGACAGTGAGGAAACGGCTGAGGGTGGATCAGTGGGAGCCCGAGAGGATCAGAGGCGGCTCGCCAATGCTGGTCGGGAAATGCCAGCCTGGATACAGAAGGAAGTGGAAATCTGAAATAAACTTAAACTTTTAAAATTTTTGGTTTTTGTGATTGAAGGATATGGCAAGATCTCTTGGAGATTTGGGGGTGGCTGAGGGGAAATATAAATACTTAAAATGATCTTAAGGAAAATAACTCTTTCAAAGAAAGGTAAAAACTGAAGCCAACCAAGCAAAGATATTTTTATGGCAGTGTAAGTAATATCCATTTCAAAAATATTTCTGATCTTTTTTTTAACTTCTTACTTTGCCGTAATTATACATTCCCAGGAGGTTGCAACAATAGTGAGGAGAGGGCCCCGGGGCCCTTCGTCCAGTTTCCACCCATGGTCACATCTTGCACAACTGTCATCTAATGTCACAACAGGAAACCGACATTGGAGCACGGTGTGGGGATGGTTCCATGCCATTTGTCACGTGTGGATTTGTGTAACCCTGTGGCAGTCCAGACACAGAACTGTCGCCACTCCGGAGACCACCCTCCTGCTGCTCCGTGACAGTCACACCTCACCCCTCCCGCCACCACCCCTAGGCCCTGGCAACCATTCATCTGCTCTCCAACTCTATAATTTTGTCCTTCTCTGATCTTTTTTAAAACTGAAGAAATTGATTTACTCTTTGATTCTCCCAACTCAAGCATCCATGTAATAAATTACTCCTGGAATTCAGTGCTTTAAAAGTGTTTTCTTGAGCCAGCCCTGACGGCCTAGCAGTTAGAGTTTGGCTTGCTCTGCTTCAGCGGCCTGGGTTCAGTTCCCGGCTGTGGAACCACACCACTCGTGTGTCAGTAGCCATGCTGTGGTGGCAGCTCATGTAGAAGAACTTACAACTATACACAACTATCTCCTGGGGCTTTGTGGGGCGAGAAAAAAGGAGGAAGTTTGGCACAGATGTTAGCATAGGGTGAATCCTCCCCTGCAAAAAAAAAGGTTTTTCCTTAAGAACAGTCTACATGCTTCCTTTTATTAGACAGAGAGAACCATGTAACCCAGCAAGTCATAGGCTCACATCACACAGTAAAACTCATCCTGTACCCATTGCTCCTCCTTCTCTCAATCCTTTCAAAGGATTTTTGCCTCCTTTGTTTCCAGTCTCCTCATTTTTTTGTTTAATATGTATTGCTTTGGGAGGATACTATAATTAACTTTTGAGGTAAGCCATGGATAGATTGTAAATAAAAATGCTTTGTTGTAGTGACAGAAATGGTTAGCTTTTCTTGACTGCTTCCCAAACCAACACTCTCCTAGGAGCTTTACGTGGATTGACCCATTTTACTCTCACAACTCCAGTGGGCAGCTGAGGAAACTGAGACACAGGAAGACTGGGTGCATGGCAGGGCTGGGATTCGAACCCAGGAGCGTGGCTTCAGAACCAGCCCTACGACTGCCAGTTTGTGCTGTAAAGCCGGTGCCTTACTAGGCAACTTCTTCCAGGAATAACTGAATTCCTCCCTGAAACTTAAGAAATTTGGTTTTTTGTTGCAGCAATTCCTTCTTACTGTTTAAAATCTTTGTTTCACGCCTACATGGTACCTGTGCAATAGAGCCATCAAGTCGTGTCTAGAGCCCCACGGAAGTCCCTCTCCGTCAGCCTCTCTCCACACCCTGTTCTCTCAACGAGGTAAAATCATTGCAAGGTTATGTCTCAAGTAGCTCAGAGGAGAAAATCTGTCACAAAATCTGAAAGCAGTGGACGGGCTTTCAGAGAAAAACAGGCAGGAGGAGGGGCGGGAGAGGGTGGAAGCCGGGGGGCCGGGAATGCTGCCCCGGCTGGAGAGCTGCTCCTCTCCATGCACTGTTGTGTTGGAGTGAACAGGCCCTTCGCCTGGTGCAGGGGCTGCAGGTTCACACAATGGCGTCACAGACCATGTTCCTGCTGCATTGTCACTTGGCCACTTAGGGCTGCACACAGAAATAAGCGTGGACATGGCTGTGTGTACCTTCCTTCCATGAAGGTCAGTACACACAGCAGAGAGTGCCATGCTCTCCAAGGGCCAAAATGCCAAACTCCGGCACAGGTTCACCTGGAACACGGAATTATCCAGAACAGTTATCGATGAAGCTAATGGAACAGGCCATTTGGTATGAGACTGGATTGTTCCATTTCCCTTTTCTTTTTAACGCGTCATCTTAATTTAATTTACTTCTGATTAGTATCCCTCTGCAGAGTTAATTTATATGCTTTGCCTTGTGCTCACTAAGTTTAATTAATTCAGTGAGAGCTCAGTCCTGTTTAGAATCTGAATAATTTTTATCTGTCAGATGCTTGCGATGGAAAGAAAATGTCAAGAGGTCATGAGGCCATGGAACTTGATTGGCTGTGGTTAAGGCTTCTCCTCCCAGCCCCTTTGATGTCTGCAACATACACACAACTGTGCCTGGTGTAGTGCTAGCCTTTGTATTTTTGTGTTTTATTAGGATATTTGTAGTCAGTTTAATAAACTACACTTTCACGGTTTGTCAGTAGAAATATCTCGAGAAATTGTACCCCAAATCCATGTACAAATGGCCAGAATTTGAGTAGCATTCGGAATGGTGTTAATCTGACCATTGAGAAACTAATAATACATGTAATTCAATATATATTTTCTAATTGTGCTAAGTGGATTAGTAGAAAGTTAAAATATTTTCAAAGTTACTTAAAATGTACATTTAAAGCTATGACTCAAACTGACAACTAAAATATCTGTTTACTTCTTAACTCAAAATTTGACCATCTCTCTGGTTTTGAAATTTCATCTCAGATGCCTTTTTTTTTTAGAGAAGATAAGTCTGTTATGTCGTCTTTAAATATTTCTACTTAGGCCAGCTACTATTCAGCTAGAATGTGCTGCCTAAGATGATTCTCTTGTTAGCTAAGGATTTCTGATTGCTCCTTCTGGTGCAACATTGCTTGCATCAGTTGAGATCCGAGTGGAGAAGTCTGGTCCCGTCTTTGTTGAAACATCCCTAGATTGTGATGGCATGTTTTCTGGTTGCGTTTGACTAGAAGGTCATCTGACCCTCTTTCCAGGCCAGTGGGAGTGGTGCTTGATCTCTCAGACTTTTCTTTTTTATAGAAAACAACAGATAAAGCTTTCTTTTCTGTCTTTATTAGAGAGTAATCAAAACATTTTTCCCTTAATTCTGAGTTGGTATTGTCAGTTCTTTCCCAGGTCATGGGAAGGACGTTTTAGGATTTTTCCCCTGGTCCATCCAGGGGCTCTGCTGTTTGGCTCAGAGTAGATTTCAGGTGCTACCCTCTCCCGGAAGAACACTCCCCAGCATTGTCTAAGTACACAAGTGTCCCAGAGCCATCAGCTGGTGCTGAGATGGAAAGCCAGGGTTCATTCTGAACCAGGATGAGACCAAGACCCTGCACTCCACCAAGCATCCAGCATGCAGACCGGCGGTCTTCATCCCTCAGGGCCTCCACTCACCCCAGGACGCGTTTGTCTTCATTAACTCACGTCGACTCTGAGAGTCCAGGCTGTGCACCAAGGTCGTGGGAAAGGACGGTGTGGTCTGAACAGGCCCTCCTGAGAGTCACGGGGAGAGAGTGCCCGGGGGTTTGATGGTGACGGGGACGAGCACACGTGCCACCCTGCGTGTAATCCATTCATAGTTTGAGGGCCTGCGAGGCATGGCCTCAAGGCCCGTGTTCACGTGTGTCCTTAGCAGTGTGATGGCTCTCCAGAAACGGCGTGTCCTTCCTCTGAAGTCTGACCCCCCCAAATGCCATTTGTATTGTTCAGTAACCAGAAGGAGGAATGACAGTCCACAAAGGAGCCCTCAGAGAAGGTGACTCTGTAGAAGAGCATCCCCGATCACTACAGCTGTGCAGGTGAAATATTCACTAGTCTGTACCAGCAATTCAATGATTGATCGCGGGATGGGAACCAAAAGAAACCTTCCCCCTGGAATCGGGCTCGGGGCTTCCCTGCAGCACAGTTACTGTGCCTGGGGAGGCAGCCTGGCAGCGGGGCCCACGGCCCTGGCCGGCCTGTGTGGCCCCAGATCCCAGCCCTGCCACCAACCAGCTGTGACACTTTCTGCCTTTAGTTTCTCATCTACAGAGTAGAGATGGGAACAGTGCCTACCCAGTGGGGTCATTGTGAACACTGAACGAGCGAAGGCACGTCGACCTCGCTCCACGCCCTCTGGCATTCATCAAGTTCTCCACATCGAGGATGGGAGGCCACTTCCTTTGCTCACATGTCCTCGCCACACGCCTGTTAACTCTCACAGAGGGATTCTGGGTGGTTGTGAGTGTTCCCAATCTGACAGATTAGAGAGAAAAATTACACAAATAGGAAAAACATGGGACATAATTTGAACTAGAATGGCCTGAAAAAGATGAGACGTTCTAAAGCTTTCGTATAACAAGCCACAGTGGCAGGATTTTCATTTTGAGCCAGGAACCCCCCAGACTCCTCAGGGAAGTCAGGAAGAGCAGCTGCCCTGGTGTCCAAGAGGAGAACTTTCAGCCTGAAGCTTGGTTTCACGGGCTAACAGGATGCGGGCACTGGAATTCTGATCTAGGATCTGATCCCGTCAGGAGAAATAAGTTCATGAGGAAAAACAGAGATGTCCAGGAACGGTGAGGAAGTGTTCAGGTTACAAGAGCCATGGCAGCCCCGGTGACAGTTCCTTCTTAGGGTTCAGCCCAGAACCTGTGATCCTGTCCACGTCCGAAACAAATGTAAACTAAGTTGAGAATACTTTGGATTCCTGTCAACCATTTATTTTATATCTAATAAAGTGAAATAGGGTAATGTACACCCAGTGTAAAATCTGTTTTTCTAAAATGTCAGCCTCAGTCCTTGCTAATGAGGCTATAATTTTGTCACATTTGCCATTTATATGCACCATCACTTTGGGGTAAATAAGGAAAAAGAAAAAATCTAAGCACATTGAGAAATAGATTTAGACACATGCATATGTCTCTGAGTTCCTTCCTTTTCTCTCTCTCCCTCTCACTCTCTCCCTCTCTCTCTTCTCTCTCTCTCTCTGTCTCTGTCTCTGTCTCTCTCTCTCCTCTCTCTCTCTGTCTCTCTCTCTCTCTCTCCCTCTCCCCCACTCTGTCTCTCTCTCTCTCCCCCCAGTTTCTCTCTCTCTCTTTCTCCATCTCTCTCTCTCTCTCCCCCTCTCTCTCTCTCTCTGTCTATCCCTCTCTCTCCCCCCATCTCTCTCTCTCTGTCTATCCCTCTCTCTCCCCCCCCAATCTCTCTCTCTCTCTGTCTCTCCCTCTCTCTCTCTTACTTTGATTTTTTACTTGCTCTTTATTTAAACCCTGAGCAGTATTAAGACCTGAAGATTAATGAGTGGTTAGACTTTTTTCTCTCCTTTTGGTCTTTTAGAGTGTACCCATTGAGGACTTATAAATGAAGTTCACACGTTCTAATTACACGACACCATGTATTTCAATTAATCTTTTAAGTATGCCTATGTCTATACAGGGAAATTCGAGTTTCTTAGCAGAAACGCTGCAAGCATCTGTATGATTCAAGTTGAAACCATCTTGTGATCTTATTTCGTGATTTTGAAATTGATGAAATGTAGAGTTGCCTGAGACACGAACCAAGGGAGCACGTACACTGACAGGGGAGTTAGTGAGATAAAGAGCGTCTGAGGCATTATTTTTCATGGTTGGCTCTAACTAACAAGGACAGTTAAGAGCAAATATCCCCAGGGAGAATCCTTCCATGTTTCTGGAAGCCCTTTGAAGATTGTCTTTCTTAAACTTCTCGTATTTTTCTCTGCAGCCAATGTGTTAAAATGTATTCTTTATATAAGGAAAAAACTTAATTGACGAAGTAAGTTCCTAACATGGCTAATGACCTAGAGTTCACCCTCCACTTACACTCCTAGGTGGTGCCTGTTTCTGTCTAGATGATCAATAGAAGGAGTTATGTCTTCTGTCTCCACCTCCTTCCATCCAGTCCTTGGTCTATTTATTGAAGAAGGCAATAGATTTATCCCCTTTCCTCCAAATTTAGACGGTCTGGGACGTCTGAGGCTACAGAAGCCACTGTTCTCTGATGAGATTCCACTGGACTCTATGCCATTAGAACTTGCAGTGTGATTCCCTTCCTACACTGATCACCTCCAATTAGCTGGTCGTTAGTTTGTATTTCATTGTATTTGATCTCGTGACTCAGGCCAGGTTTTCTTGTACTGTATCTGAGTCTTTTCTTAAGTATAAGGAAAGAGACCGGCCTCACCTTCACACCGCTTGTATTATAGTCCCTGGTTTTGTTTTCTGGGTCATCCACCATAGATCCTATTCTCTGAACTGCTCTTGGTTGGGGCGACTGGCAAGGAGCAGATTTAATTCAATGCATGACACTCTGAGTCCAATTTTGGTACAGCATACCAGGTGTTCCACAATTAACATTTGTTCATCTAAATGTCCCTGGCTGTGGTCCAAACTGTTCTCTCTTGTTGTTAAAGTGCTACAAAAATAAATTAATGTTTTGCTGCTGAAAAAAAACTTAAGCAGTTGGTAAAAACATTGTTCCGAGATGTATGTACTAAGTTCATGTGTTAGGAGCTAGCATTATTCATTACCTATCATTTCTGTCTGTGTGTCTGAAGGCTCAACTAATGGGCAGTTTTAGGTAATACCAAAGGCTCTCGGCACAAAATGGGGAGCAGGGAGGCGTTGTGACTAGTGACACGGGGCAGATTCTCACGAGGTCCCGAGGACTCTTGGACCCTCCCCTGCCAGGCCCTTCTGCTCCCATGCTTCTCGCCAGGCTCAGTGGCTGTTCTCGCCTGCAGAGAGAGTGGACTTGAGCTGATGCTGCTTTCAAGATAGAGCTGCCTTGGAAGAAGGGCGTCGAGTTCCTCAGAAGTTTCAAAACTGAGAAATTCCTGTTTGTGTCACTCAGAACCAAATTTTCAGAAATCTACTGTTAAAGCTACTTATGTGCACAAGACCTTGAGTAAAATCAGTGGTTAAAAAAATGATACAACCTTATAAACATAGTGGTTTCAGAGCTGTTTCTCAGAATAGGCAGTTCCATGTTTACAAACTGGGATTTAGGCTCAGAACAAATTGTACAATAAATTTACTGTCCTTGTTACGGGTTAAATAGACTAGTGGGCTGGACTGGAAATCCATCTCCCAAGTGAAAGACTTCCCTCGGGGATGATGTCTTTGATGCTCAAGGAGGCGAGAACAGAGCAGTTGCCTCCCCTCCATTGATGGTAGAAAAAGTACCACCACGAGCTTGGAATAAGGCCCCACAGTAGCTCGGGAACCAGTCCCACTCCTGGAGACTCTGGGAGGGATCCTGTTAGGTCCCCCACGCACCCCGGGCTGGCCACATGCTTGTCAGGGGGATGTTTATCATTCCAAGATCCTGAGATGTTTGCAGTTCGACAGAAGCAGGGTCACACTAATTTCTGTTTAGCTTCCCCTCCAGTCCCAGCGACCCCCATCCTACAGCTGGAGGAGTGTTGCACCCACAACAGCAGCGCCACGCTGTCCTGGAAGCAGCCGCCTCTGTCCACGGTGCCCGCCGAAGGGTACATTCTGGAGTTGGATGACGGCAACGGGGGCCAGTTCCGGGTAAGTAGAGAACCTACTACCAGTTACCCAGAACCAGGGACTCCCTCAGAGGACCCACCAGCTTCCCCTCCCCTCCTGGGGACAGACAGTCCAGGCGAGCCTGTCTGCCGTTCACCTGAGATCTGCTTTCTCCTTGCACCATCAGAGATGTATGAAGAAGTCCCCGAACGGAAACTGCCTTCCCCTTCCGAGAGAAGGCACAGCCATGCTGCGGGCTCTGGGGCCCGCATCCAGACCCCGACTCCACCCTTCAGCTGTGTGGCTGTGCCCGTTTCCCACCTCACTTGTAAATGGGGATGATGACGATAACATGTCCCTCATGCATTCTCGTTGAGAGTCTCTCAGATCACCCATATAGCCTTCTTAGCATGCTGCCAGTCCCAGACCCAATCTCCTGAGCTGTCACTTTAAAGCTATGCTTTGAATGCAAATTATTTTTACCGTTACGTCAGCATAATGCTGTAAATTATGCGGCTAAAGATGGAGGCAGACACTACCTGTGCTAGAGACGAGTTATGTGGGATTTATTTTAAGCCTCTGGAATGTCGTTCTTCCTCCCATCCCTGCTTCCTCCCCGTCCCTCTGTATTTGAGGAAACCCTGCCCTCCTGTGGCTTGGAGTGTGGTTTCTGTGACTGTTCCTGAAGTTGTCAGTGGAGTGACAAATATGACACGATCTAGGCCCTCGTGTTTTCAAACCTGTTTTTCACACATCCTACTGATGCGTAAAGACCTTGGTGGGTGTGATATACTCCACAAATGCCAAGTTAATAATGGTAAGTAATAATTGAGCCCCAGCTGCTAATAACCACCATTCGTTCAGCTGCAGGCCTGTGCTGAGTGCCCGGCCCTCTGCTGGTCGGTTTGCACATACAACCTTGTGTAATCCTCACACCACCCTCAGAAGCTCGGCATCGCTCTCCCCATCTTACAGATAAGGAAACTGAGGGTAAGAGAGGTCAATCACATGGCCGCATATCCCGCAGGATTCAAGTCCAGATCAGGCTGACACCAGAGCACGTGCTCCTAACCATTCTGCCACACTTCCTCCCGAATGGCCCCTCAAGTGATTTGAGTCAAACGGTGGCCTGTTGTTTCTTGACCCTCAGGAAGTGTACGTTGGGAAGGAGACCATGTGCACCGTGGACGGTCTGCACTTCAACAGCACTTACAACGCTCGCATCAAGGCCTTCAACAAGGCGGGCGTCAGCCAGTACAGCAAGACCCTGGTCCTGCAGACGCCGGAGGGTAAGGCCCTTCAGCAGCGCCCCTCCGAGCGGGAGCTGCGGGGCGCCTGACGCGCCGGCCGCCCGAGGGGCCCCGCCTGCCCCATGTGCTGGCTGCCCGAGGGGCCCCGCCTGCCCCAGGCGCTGGCCAGCCGAGGGGCCCCGCCTGCCCACCCCTCAGTGTCCCCATGACTCGCCCCGCACCCTCCCAGAGCCGCTGCTCCTCCTGCCTTTAGCAAGCCCAAGGGCCATGGAGCCATCAAGCCAGCGTCCACAGCGGTGTCCCCGGGCTCGGCCGTCAGCTGCCCTGGTAACTCTGAGTGAGCTCCAGTCGAAGAAGCTGAGCCTGAAGGCCTGAGTGTGCCCCGTGTGACACACACGCGTCCAGGCCCTAGGGCAAGCTCCCGCTCCACGACACACGTCATTTGCCACTTTACCCGATGATGCCCGTTGCCCATAGTGCTTGCCTGCTTCTCAGGGTGGGCCGAGGTTCTCTCCAGTGGGGGATTATCTGCCAGGAAGCCTTTCCGATGGGTGTGGGGGGCAGAGCTGCTCGGAGGGGCCCGTCTCCCCAGCGCGGACCACTGCCCTTTCACACCCAGAGGTGAGGCCACTGGCACAGGACCCAGGCTTCCTGGGGGCTCCCACAGGAAGAGACCGGCAGCCCCGCACTTCCTCGCCGCGGCCTCCTTTGCCGGCCCCTCCAGGCGTGGCCAGGCTGCCGATGCCCGGTCCCAGCCCGGTCTCTAGAGAGCCTCGCTCCTTGGCTATACTGTAAATACTCTGGTCATCAAAGGCGAGCCACCCATCTCAGAGGAGGGGCTTGACATTGATGGCCAGGTGTGACCTCCAAGGTCGAACACATTCCCTTTAAAAGCAATTGCAACACGTGAAATTAAACCTACGAAGAGCTATTCGTGGTCGGTGCCAAAGCACTTCCAGAGCTTCCGGGTGTCATTTTAATCAGAGCAGTTACCCGCACCCAAGCGGCATCCTCCATAACTTCCCTCTCAGAACCGATTGTGTTGATTTTGTTCAAATTCAAGAAAAGAACTGTGGTGGTGTTTGTTCCCGCTTCCCACAAACCTCAGCATGTGCCCGTCGCCCCTAAAATGGTTCACATGGTTAAAAATAAGCACAACTTCAAATCCCACAGCAAGGTGGATGGGCCCAGCCGTGACAGCCCTGCCCGGGCAGCAGCTGGAAGTCCTGAGCCATGTTGTCAAAGAGAAGGGTCTGTTGAGGGAAGGTGCCCACGTGACCTGTTCCCATTTGGGTCACAGCCACGTGAGCCAGAGCATCCCTGGAACCATTGTTTCAGCAGCTTCTCTCTGGGGTGACCTGGCCCCTTGAGAGCAGTTGCCTCTTTTCCCAAGCACCGTACCAAAATGCTGACGCTCCAAGGGTTTCCTGGACGCAACGCAGAAGGCCCTTCACTGTGGTGGCCTCGTGTCCGGCGTGTGCACGGGGCGGTTTGGTGGAACAGAGAAGTGCATGCCCTCAGAGCAGGGAGGCAGTTGGCAACCATGTTGCTAATATGTGTCATCAGACCTGCCGGAAAACTATCTATTCATAATACATCATGGAAATCATACTATTCTGCTAAAATCAGTTATTAGCATAGCAGCCTGAGCACTGATGTCTCTCTTTTCATCCTACAGGGGAATGTAGTTTCTCAGTTTCTCTTACTGTTCATAAGATTATGGTGTCTAATAAATTACAGGATTGGAACGGTGATCCTCATTACCGCAGTCACAGCACTGGGGGTCATTTCCTAAAGAAACTAATGGAACAAGTCCTTTTCCAGCAAAGCAACTGTACTGTAGAATTAATTTCCTCCATGAATTTTATATATTGTATACAAATATAAGGGATGTACCTAAATACAAAGAAAGCCCTATCGTCGTGTAGATACCAGTATTCTCTGTTACCGCACAGAAGTGATTTTTCTCATGATGAAATAAAGTTCACACACATACTTTCTCCATAACTTTGGTTTGTTCTATTTGTTTCTCCCTCATTCTGATTCATTCCAACAGTGAGACAAGATTTAGAAAGCAAGAGAAAATATAAGGAATAGCTTATTAGGAAAAGAAAGAATTGATCAATCTCTAACAATAGAAAAGGCATACAGAATTAAAAATTATACCTCTTTTTTGAGATGAGTGAGAAAAATTCCATTAACAGAGTTTTGGTACATTAACTGAACTTATACTTTATTAATGTTCCTACCGTTCCTTGAATGGTGTACTTTGGATATTTTTTCTTTGCTGCTCCTGGAGGTGATTGGGGTGGTTTGCTCTGGTTTTCTGCTTTAACAAAATCTTTCATGTTCTTCTTAGCAAGAGTTAACCCTGTTCCAAAGTTCAAAACAAGAAGTCTGTGTCACAGAAGGGTGCGATTTCACGGGTGATCGCGAGTCTGACTTGGGTTTACGTGCATTTAGTCTCAGGTTTAAGTCACTGCTGCTTGAACTCTTTGATCTATCACAAAACCTTCTGCTGGCTAAATGAGCATCGTGCAGGGAGATGAAATGTCCACTTTGTTATGAATTCTGATCCTTTATTTCAAAAGCGAATTTGTTTATTTATCTATTTATTGGGCCCTGTTGATGAGGGTCCGGGGTACACTATGCTGTGCATGTGGTGTGTCGAGCAGACGTCACCCGGCTGTCCTAGAGCTTACGGTCTAGGAGGAGAGACAGGCCTTAAAGAAATGGACACACAAATAGTTACATATTTACAAGTTATGATAAACACAGAAAGAAGGAGAATTATGTCTTCCTTTCTCCATAAGGAAGACATAATTTGCGGAAGGGAATTGGTCAAGAAAACAATGAAAAATAATTTAATGCAATGGAAATTATAAAGAATGTGTTACTAAAACAGAAAAGCAGAGGAAAGTGCCTTATTATATGAGTTCGAGCTTCGTGAGTTCCTGAGAGCTGAGTCCTGGGGGTGGACCTAAGACAGCCACGTGAATAAGGCCAGTTGCAGGTCTAAACCAGGTTACCCTGACTTAAGAAGAAATACAACTGTAAGCAATTAAGAGTTTTAATGAAATTTACAATAAGACCCACAACCCTGGTTGTGTATATCTTTAAAGTAATTCGTTTAATAGTCATCAAGGCTGTGTCACCATCTCTGACACCGTCTGCAAAAGAGGATCCAATTAAAAACATTATGTAACAAGGCCTTCTTAATACCTAGAGTTCTGGGGCTCATTCTGTGTCTCGGGGACTCTTCTCCTGCAAAAAAAAGGTTTTTTTTTTTAGACCAGGCTGAGAACAGAATAGGAAAATTTTCTGTTCACTTTTTCCTATTTTTCCTCCACCCATCTAAACAGGCTGTACTTTTTTTTTTTTTCCAAATTTGGAGAGAAAATTAAGTAGACCAAAGATAATATTCCTGGGGCTCAAATACTCACAAAAACTGTTCACTGGCTGGAAAAAGAAGGTCTGTGTGCCTCCGCACCACTCACTGACCCCCTTGGAGCCAGGGTGTTGCTTCCCACAGCCTTCCGGGCAAGAGGGTGCTGTGCTTGCACACCCTTCAGGGCTAGAACACAGCGCTCTTTCACACAGATCTTTGTGTGAAAAGATTATTTTCCTTCAACTCATTCTTAAAAGTGGAATTACGGGACCAAACAGTCTGAACATGTTTAGGGCCCCAGATGTGTGTTTCCAAATTGCTTTCCAGATAGATCTTACACCAGAAAAGTGTGAACTATTCCATTTTTTATCACTTTAATGCTACTAGAGTTTAATTTTCACTAATGAGCAGCCTCTTCTAAAAGTAAAAAATGTTTCTAAAAGAGGGTTTTTAAAATTTATGTTTTCATAGAAGTAATCTGATTGTTTTACATCTTGTAGCTACATGAAGTAAGTTACTGCATCCGGCAGGGGGTGAACCTGCTGGGAAGGGGAGGGAGGACCTCCCAGAGGAGAGAGAGAGGAACCCGAACCTGGGGAGAGACTCTAGACAATGCAGAAACTTTAGCATCTGCCTCGAGCTGACTTGGAAAGGAGGCCTCATGCGTTCGGAAACGTTGATGGAGCTCCTCGATTTCACCGGCCCTGGGCTGGGCCCCAGGACACAGAGGTGGAGCCGGGCCCCTGCCCTCGAGCTTGTGGGCTTGACTCCTCCTCCTTCCTGAACTCAGGGCATCTGACTCAGTGCCTGACTCTGTGCTGCCCCTCACCTCTCTAGAACCGAGGGGTCCACCCTACAATCTAGATAGTCACCTTCCCATCCAGAAGTGAGCCACAGTGACCTCCGATTGGCCAAAACAAGAGAAGAGAAAGTTCAGGCCAAACGCCCCTGTGCTGTCCTCACAGCAGAGCCCGTGGTCTCACTCCGCTCTCCGTTACTCTTAGCTTACGCACAGTTTCACTGGGCTCGCTGACCCATTCGCTGAGAGCACGGAGGCTGGGAGCTGCACATTAGAAGAGAGAAGACGGACTCGGGGTGGAAGTGAGTTGAGGCTGTTGGCAGCGTTGAGCAGGGAAGGTAACTGGAAAAACTGAGAACAGACTCAAAAAAAAAAAAACCGAAAGAGAGCATTCTGTGGCATACGTTCTGATTAAGAGACTGAGAAAGTGTATAATGTATAATGCATTTTAGAAAGATTTCTGTCTAATGCTTTTAAAAGTCAGTGTGTTATCTGGAACCCGTGGTAAGGGGGTATGAGGTCTATCTCATAGGGCTTTATGAAGTCACAATATGAACCAGGCCCCAAAAAAGCTATTATAATAAACCCTGCTTCATTTTTTTTTTAAAGATTTTTTATTTTTTCCTTTTTCTCCCCAAAGCCCCCCGGTACGTAGATGTATATTCTTCGTTGTGGGTCCTTCTAGTTGTGGCATGTGGGACACTGCCTCAGCGTGGTTTGGTGAGCGGTGCCATGTCCACACCCAGGATTCAAACCAATGAAACACTGGGCCGCCTGCAGCGGAGCGCGCAAACTTTAACCACTCGGCCACGGGGCCAGCCCCAAACCCTGCTTCATTTTATGTCAAGCTTC